AAACTCATCGAGGTCCTTACGTCACCAAGACGGAATTCAGTGTGTCTGGCTTTAACGCATCATTCAAATGAATTTGCGTCTTCTGAAAATGTCTTGGTGGAGAAAGACTCGGGGATAGTTGACGAAAAAGGCGAACTAAGTTTGCAGAAGGAAAGCAACACACCCACTGCAACATGCGAGGCTTTCCAACTCAAGATTGGATCGTTAAAAGAAGAACTAGCATCTGCAGCTCTCAGGTACGACGAGATCTCAAGGAAATTGGACGCAGCGCTGGCTCAGTTAGCTGCATCTGAAAACCAAGCAAAGGAACTAGCAGACCAACTTAAGAAAGAGAGAGAAAAATCGAGTACCATTGCAAATAATCTGCAAGTAAAAGAGGATGCTATTGAGCGCATCAGAGAAGAATATGTACAGAAGGTATCTGGGCTGGTTATGGATCGCCAAGAAGAGAAGAAAAAAGAAAAAATGAGTAGATTGGCAATAGAAGAGGAGAAAGATTCTGCCAAAGTAGAACTTGAAAAGGCCAATTACAAGATAGAAGATTTGGAGGTAAATAGCATTGCAGCTGAACTTGCACGCACCGCCATCATAGAGTCACTTCAAGAAGAAAGCGAAGGGTGCCAAAAAGTCAGCCATTTGCAGATTGCAACGTTGGAAGAAAAGTGGGCCAAGGCTTTAATCACTTATAAAGAAGAAAGAAAACGAAACGAAATGCTGGGAATTGAATTGGCAGCAAAGACAGATGACATAAGGATCCTCAAGAAGAAGAACTTGCAGGAGAAGAAAGACAAAACCACTCTCTGGAAAGCGTTTGTTGGCCTTGCTGAAGATAGAGCTGACGCAGAAGAGCAAATTTGCCAAGAACGACGGGAAACGGCAAAAAAGAATGCCTCGTTTGCGAATAGGATACATAGACTGGAGGCTGATTATGAAAAGTTGGATAGAGTGAACAAAATTTTGGCGAATGAGGTTGTAGAAAATGATGAAAGGTGCCGAGTAAAAGAAGAAGAAAATCGGCGATTGCACAAATATCTTAACGGTCTTGAAGAAAGGATTGACTCAAAGGAACTTCTCGTTCAGCATCTTCTAAGGAAACAACGCAGAGGAGTTTGGAAAAGGCTTTTCTGCTGCTCATGATTGAATAACTAATTGAAAAGAAACTTTCTCATTACTTTAAATAACTTATAACTTCATTATCGATGTTCAACCTTTGTTTTTTACAGATTAAAGACTCTCACTTTAAAGTCAGATTTTCTCTCTTTATGGTATCATCTTACGTTCATACTGGATAACTAGCTCGAGAACTTTATAATCTCTAAGTTAATTGAGAGGCCGGTCTTCTTACATCAAGAATGGATCAAATGTTGATGAAAAATCGCAGAGAAGGCACAAATAGGGAAACTTGTAGTGGGTGTTGCTCTTGTAGTGGGTGTTACGCTGGGCACAAGTCGTCCTCCAGATTCTATGAACCCTACTATGATAATGAAATTTATTAAAAATAGGCAGTAAGAAAACAAAACGACGAAGGGCAATCCAATGCAAGTTAAATCTAACTAAGAAAAAGTACAAGTTAATTTTAACTTCACCCAGGCATATTGTGCTCTGTCAGAGTGGCATTATCTGACATTCTCCCTTTTTTCTATACAGCTTAATGTGTTTTGGTTTTCCAAAAGACAGCCAATGGTCGAATCAAATGGCCTATTAACTTTGGTCATTGCCTTTGCCTTCAATTTAGCTAACCATATTATTAATGTTGTGAGTGCTGATACGTCCCGACATGTAAGAATAATCGAAAGAGCTGAACAGCATACATAAAAAGGAGTTGCACAAAGGTTTAGCCTAGAAATAACAATTCTGCTAGGTTGCAAATGGTAGAAATACAAATTAGGTCTTGATCTGAAAGTCAAAAGATGGTCTAATGTGAGAATCTGAAATCCTGTGACTGAGTGCTTTTGTCGGTTGAAGTGTAACATTTGATTGTTTTTGGATAAGGAAACGATATTGAATCAGACTATAGGTAAATACTAAATAAAGATGTGAGAGCCATACTTAGGTAAGGGTGAAAGTATAATCACCCTATTTGTCGACCATGGTTTACGTGAAAGAGCAACTATGGTTTATGTAAAAGAGGTGAATGTCAAACATGTTGAATTAAATATGTAAATAAAATTTTTTCCAGAAAATTCTTTGGAAGGCTTACAGAGAAGGTAATTACAGGTGAGTCAGCAATGCCGAATGAGCACTATCGTATTCCAATCTGTTGATAGAAAGGGAAGCTGCGATTTAGGAGAAGGGAATTAGGCCGCGAAATTTGAAATTGTGTTTGCGGACATGAATGAAGATGGGTATTTGCAGCGAAGTTATATTTGGCCAACATACGTGTTATGGTTAACTTACTCACTTTTTAGTTTAAGATGAGCTTATTTGCCTTCCAATAGCCACTTAGAGGATAAACATTACGCACCAAAGTATTCGGTGCCAAAATTTTCGTTCACAAAAAGTTTTGTCTCATTTTTTAAATTTGGTTGTAAACTTTGGTGTAAATTTCGGTCCAATAAATGAAACTGAAGTGTATGAAAGAATTCTCAAACTCTTATCTAAAGGCCGTCCTTTTTATTTCATATTCTAACCCATAGACGAAAATTAATAGGCAGCTTTTATAGTCGGCCATATTTTCGAACGCCAATCGCAACGATTGGATAAGAGAACCTAATCGATTGTGAATAATAAATTGAGGCTTCCAAAATGAAACAGCTGGAACGTTAGAAAGAAATAATTCAGATAAATTATGAAGTGCCAGTAGAAGCAACAGTTCAGCCCATAGAGAACTCAAATTTCTTGAATGTAGAGGGCGAAAGAGAAAAAAGTTGAGATAAGCTGGAAATATTATTTGCTGATGACAAAGGACAACCAAGAACTGAAAATTGATATGTGCTGGGTGTAAAATAATACTAAATAAATAGAAAGGAAAAATTGTTTTGTTATTTTCAAAGTCTGTCTGTGAAAAACGAGATTTTCTAGCGTTTGAAAATTTCGTTTTCTAAAAAATTCGGTGGGATTGATTTTCGGTTGCCCTGCTTCACCGATATGAGCAATCACCGATATAATTCAATTACGATATGAGACATAGGCAAATGATGAGGTTAAGTAACAAGTAGAGATGCAAGGAAGAAATGCTTTACAATATTCTAATAAGTAACAGCGTTGACCAAGTTGAGAAATACGATTACCAATTATAGGCAAACATATTATGCAAAGAGACATTGCATCTAAATGCTAAGTGCAAAAAGTTTTTTGATGTGTACATTATTTTCCTTCTAGAGAAAAAACCCTTCTAAAAAAGAGTGGGTATCATATCTGCTGTCTTGTTTATTTAAAATTCTAAACAAACCACGCTATAAAAAGAACTCAATTTTATATCAATTTGTAATTAATTCACTTATCAAATTGTTTCTGACACTTCTCTCCGGTTTTTGAGTGATATACACTTACGTTCAAAAAGTATTGGGACGAATTCGATAAACGAATTATGGCGTTCCGTTGGATTCGGTTTTGCAACGGAAACTTTTTCAGATTTAGGCAGTCTTTCTACAAATAATCTAGGCCCAAGTTTCCCCAAAATGGAATAATAAGTTAACAAAATGCTTCAACTTATGAAGAATAACCAAGAAAACACAGGATTCTTTCGATTTTCCTGATTATAACAGCAAAATATGCAGAAGGGCTGAATGGCCTAACAATGGCAAAGTCACATGACCTTCCAAAAATTTTAGAGCTGTCCAAACAAATACAACTTTTTAATTTCACGTTTGAATAACAAAAAAAATTATCAAAGAAATTATAAAATCAAACTTTTAAGCTTCAAAAAAAGGTTACTTCATCGACGAAAATGCTACAAATTTATTAAATTATTGCATTTATTCAAGCTACTTTTAAAATTGCGTAACATTAAAGGAGAAGCCATTGAACTCATCGTCGATGAGTAATTTTTGCTTTGAGAGAGCATTTTTTTCTTATAACGCTGGAAAATTTGTATTTTCTTAACTTTATAGCCATGTTTTTGCTTATGTTCCATTATTTAGCTTCTTTTTACATGACAACATGATGTCTGGTAAGGATTCAAACCTATTACTTCGCAGTTCCCCCAGTAAAGACCTTTCGTCCTACGGCGTCGTGAACTTCTTCGGTCTGCAAACCCTTGGTAAATTTTTTTCTGTTCTTGTACGGAAAAACTTTTTACACAGCAGAAAAGCTGCACTCATTGAGCAGCCGAAAATTGATGCAATATCGCAAAATCCATTTACTTTATTATAGTAGAAAGCAATTTGTAAGCACTTCTCTTAACTCAGTTCTTGAGTTTTCAGAGCTTCCATGTTTTCGTCTCGAGACCTATAGAAATTTTATGGTAGATGAATTTTTAATTTTTTGGCGTACATAAAAGGCTTCAAAATATCAACAATGTCTTGTGAAAATTTCATGGAAATAACTGCCGTACTTTTTTAATGAGAAAGATTTTAAAAAAGTCTTTCCGAATTTGTTGCATAAAATGTCTTCGAAGTTTCGATGGGTATCCCAATACTTTTTGAACGTAAGTGTAGTTCAGAATTTGAAATTCTTAGACATTCTCTCCATCTCTTTGGATAAAAAAATGGTGATATCCAACTAACAATCGAGACTAAAGCAAAGAGACTTCACAATATTCTTAATTATTTTTTAGCTCTTTTTTCCGAGGATTACCTCATAGCCCTAAGTTAACTTAAACCTGAAACTTTCAAATATCAAAATAAAAAAAAACAAAAAAAAAATAGATTTTACAGAACGATATTCTGTTCGATCTTTTGCTTTGGATCCATTGTCACGTCACATACATTTTTTAGAAATTTGACGTCACAATCAACTCAGAAATACTATAAATTCGCCAAATTGTTTGCTTTTATCAGATTGCTTATTTGATCATTATCGAAAAGTTGTCTTTACTTGTGATAGTTTTTGTGACGAAAATGAGTTCATCAAGGACGCAAAGAACACGTAAACGCAACCGGGACACCGTATTCTTATTGCAAGGAGAAGTACATTCAGCAAAAAAGGAGCTTTCGTCGCTTACGGAGCAGAACGATCGGTTGTTGGGCGAAAATGAACAACTCCGCAAGTTGAATCTAGATCTTGCTGGTCAGTTGAAGTTTGAAAAGAAGCAGCAATGTTCACCTGATTGTGCATTTCAGGTAAGTGTTTTGATAGATTCAGTGAAACTTAACTGTACTCTAGATAAAGTTTTCATTATCCGTTCTTTTTAACTTCGGGTTCTCATTTATCCGCTACCAAATAGTAAAGAGAATTTCCCCAAATCATGTTTCAACTAGTTTATTTAGACCTACGACAAGGAGAACGTCAAGGCTTTAAAAAACTTTTCTAGACCCTCAAAGCACTTCAAATTGTCTACCTATTTATCACTTTAAAAGAATTAACAACGATGCCTTTATTGCAAATAGCAGCATTGCTCAAACAATATTGTTAAATTAAACAACAAGTACTTTCCTTGATTTTACAGGCATTTATCAATCGCATCAGTGCCGAGAAGTATCAAGACTTGGTAAGGCTTGCATTTCTGAGAAAGGTCACCAAATACACTCAGCAACAGGATGTCAAAAACAAACTCATCGAGGTCCTTACGTCACCAAGACGGAATTCAGTGTGTCTGGCTTTAACGCACCATCCAAGTGAATTTGCGTCTTCTGAAAATGTCTTGGTGGACAAAGACTCGGGGATAGTTGACGAAAAAAGCGAGCTAAGCTTGCAGAATGAAAGCAACACACCCACTGCAACATGCGAGGCTTTCCAACTCCAAATTGGATCGTTGAAAGAAGAACTAGCATCTGCAGCTCTCAAGTACGACGAGATCTCAAGGAAATTGAACGCAGCACTGGCTCAGTTAGCTGCATCTGAAAACCAAGCAAAGGAACTAGCAGACCAACTTAAGAAAGAGAGAGAAAAATCGAGTACCATTGCAAATAATTTGCAAGTAAAAGAGGATGCTATTGAGCGCATCAGAGAAGAATATGAACAGAAGATATCTAAGATGGTTATGGATCGCCAAGAAGAGAAGAAACAAGATGAAATGGGTAGATTGGCAATGGAAGAAGAGAAAGATTCTGGCAAAGCAGAACTTGAAAAGGCCAATATCAAGATACAAGATTCAGAGGTGAATAGCATTGCAGCTCATCTTGCACACACCGCCATATTAGAGTCACTTCAAGAAGAAAGCGAGGAGTGCCAAAAAGCCAGCCATTTGCAAATTGCAACTTTAGAAGAAAAGTGGGCCAAGGCGGAAATCACTTATAAAGAAGAAAGAAAACGAAACGAAATGCTTGAAATTGAATTGGCAGTAAAGACAGATGAGATAAGGATCCTCAAGAAGAAGAACTTGCAGGAGAAAAAAGACAAAACCCATCTCTGGAAAGCGTTTGTTGGCCTTGCTGAAGATAGAGCTGATGCAGAAGAGCAAATTTGCAAAGAACGGCGGGAAACGGCAAAAAAGAATGCCTCGTTTGCGGATCGGATACATAGACTGGAGGCTGATTATGGAAAGTTGGATAGAGTGAACAAAATTTTGGCAAATAAGGTCGTAGATAAAGGTGAAAGGTGCCGAGTAAAAGAAGAAGAAAATCAAAGATTGCACAAATATCTTAACAGTCTTGAAGAAAGGATTGACTCAAAGGAACTTCTCGTTCAGCATCTTCTAAGGAAACAACGCAGAGGAGTTTGGAAAAAGCTATTCTGCTGCTCATGATTGAACAATTAATGAAAAAGAAACCTACTAAATATTCTAAAAAACTTATAATTTCATTCAAAAGATATGACATAAGGACTCATTGCTTATCAGACTTTTTACGTTGCAAGAAGTTAGATTTACTTGGTATCGATGTTCAACTTGTGTTTTCTACAGATTAAAGACTTTCATTTTAAAGACAGATTTTCTTCTTTTATGGTATCATCTTACGTTCATACTGAACAAGAAATTGAATCACATCAGCGATCTTGCTGGTGAAATGCATCAAACTGGATGACTAGCTCGAGAACTTTATACTCTCTAAGTTAATTGAGAGGCCGGTCTTCTTACATCAAGAATCGATCAAATGTTGATGAAAAATCAAAGAGAAGACACAAATAGGGAAACTTGTAGTGGGTGTTGCTTTTATCAACATCTCACATGCAGTGGTAACATATTCTGGGTGTCAGATACTACACCCCGGAAGGAAGAGATGCTGGATAAAAGCCGTCCTCCAGATCCTATGAACCCTACTATGATAATTTAATCTATGAACAATAGGCAGTATGAATGCAAAACGACGAGGAGCAATCCAATGTAAATTAAATCTAACTAAGAGAAAAGTACAAGTTAATTTTAACTTCACCCAGGCATATTGTGCTCTGTCAGAGTGGCATTATCTGACATTCTCCCTTTTTTCTATACAGCTTAATGTGTTTTGGTTTTCCAAAAGACAGCAAATGGTCGAATCAAATGGCCTATTAACTTTGGTCATTGGCTTTGCCTTCAATTTAGCTGACCATGTTGTTAATGTTGTGAGTACCGATACGTCCCGACGTGAAAGAATAATCAATAGATCTGAACTGCATTTATGAAAAATAGTTGCGCAAAGATTTTGCATAGAAATAAGAATTCTGCTTTTGAAAGCTGAGTATCTCTAGGTTGCAAATGGTAGAAATAGAAATTAGGTCTTGATCTAAAAGTCAAAAAATCTAATGTGAGAATTTGAAATCCTGTGACAGTACTGGGTGCATTTATCGGCTTAAGTATAACAGTTACAAAAAGGTGCCTGATTTGATAGATTAGAGAAACCATCTTGAGTCAGAAGATAGGTAAATAAAGATGCTAGAGACATAATCAACCTATTCGTTGAAGAAATTCTTGTTTCAAAGCTTGTTAAATGTTAATAAAGAAAGGAATGAAAGGTGAGTCATCAACAGTGATTGAGCACTTTCCAATACGCATGCGTCGATACTGAGGGATGTTACGATTTTGAAGTGTGGTATTAGGCCGTAAATTTGAAAATGTGTTTTTGACATGACTAAAGTCGTGTGTGAAGTGTTTGGCCTACATGGATGTCAGAGCTTACTCGTTTTTCTATTACAAGATAGCTTATTTGACTACCTGTCAAAATGGTATAGGCTTATTCGCCATTTCTGATCAAACTATATCAAAATCACACCATAAAATGTTTTTTATTCTATTCCTTTGCACCAGCAATACTTGGTATGATTTTGAGAAAAAATCTGCTTTTCAGAGAGAAGTACTCTTCTAAAATAAAGTGGGTTTAATATCTCCTGTCTCATTTATTTCACATTTTACACTAACTACGCTCTAATGATATAAAAGACTCAATTGTTTGTCAATTTCTAATGAGTTTTTTATCAAATTGTTTCTGATACTTCTCTCTGATTCCTGAGTGATCAACCATAGTAAAACATCTCCTTAGATTCATCGGTCGTAAGATATGCCCTCATTTGATGTCACCGTTTTGATCTTTCAATAATTTATCTTTCTAAAAGAGGAAAATGATATTTTGAATAGTTTAGTACAAAATCCAAGTAATAAGCTTTTTGAAACCACAAAGCGACATCAATTTGGACAAAAACAAAACAGCACTGCAGCTTAAAAAATGGTCATTTAAAAGGAAAGAATGTTGATTATTATCCTGTTGGTTTGAGGGAAAAAATGTAATTTCATGCAAGTTATGAAAAATAATTTTTGAAATACACAAATCCGCAATAATATGTAAGAGCTACTTTGTACACGTTTTAGTCCATGTACTTTTGCTCTGATGAAGCCCTGTATGCTGGGGCGAAATATTAGTCATTATAACTTATTTACCAGCGTTTGTTGTTGTTTATTCTTGGCATGTTGTGGTTTTCCTTATTTACTACACTTTAATCGATTTTTCCTTATTAACACACTTTAATATTAAACCCACCTTTAATCAAATTTGAATCCTTTGGCAGTCAAATCTTTTCTTGCCTCTTTGATTTGCTTAAAAAAACAATACAAAAAAGTTCTATAAAAGGCAAATACTTATGTATCATTATAATATTTATCATGAATGAAAGACAAATTTTAGATGCACTTTGCAAGAATTTTAAAGAAATTTTAAGAATCTTTGCAGTAAATGATCTCTGAAGCTATTCTTATATGACACCCATCTTTTCTTGAGGTATAGCTGAAAACACTTTTTATCTATAGTGCTTAACACTCTTTTAATTCATGGTATACAAAAATTATTTGCTCCTTACATATATTGTCATTATTTGGATGGAGTACCTCATGCAACTAACATATTTTATTAAAATGACACAAGCTTTAAAAATCAACTTTGCAAATGGCTTAAAGCAAACTGATAATAAAGCACCTTTTGAACCCAGTGCCACCATCTTATGCAAAACATGGCAAGAATGAAGGGTTTTCCATATCATAAAGAATGCAGTAGCAGTGTGAAATGGGGTATGAAATGTTAATTACCCTTGCACAACATTAAACTATGGTCTTGTAGAATCATGGCCTAGACTTTACCTTGTTCTTTCAAAAAGGAATAAGAATAAGTTTGGTAAGAGTAAACCATACTTTTCTTTATTTACCAGAAGAAAATAGCACTGAAGGGTTTAGCACTGAATTATGAAAAAAGAAGACATTTCTGTAATACAAAAAGAGTATGGTCTATAGAGTAGCTGATAATATTACAGATCCAGCAGGTCCATTTGAAGAGAAAAACATCACCCTAACTTCTAATTAAACATGAACAAATGGTAGTATAGGCCTTTACCACAATATATTGGTCTTTGAAACCCCTTCTTTATCAATTCTAATGACATGCTGCTTTCATGGATGAGATGTACAACTAGCTTGTTCATACTCCCAGTTCAAAAGATTTGCAATTTAGATATATGCATAACTCGTTCTTTTTTCTTAGCTTCTTTATTAAAACTTCAAAATGTCTCAAGAATCCACTTTAAATGCAAAGCATCTTATTAACTTAAAGGTAATGTGTACATATAGATTGATTTGCATGATTGGAGATGAAATGCTGACTCAAAAATGCTGAGTGAGTTGATTGGTTTAGACAATGTGTCTAATATGTCAATTGGTTTGGATGGGGTTACATTCCCTTGAAGCAAACTACCAAATTTATGAAAATATTACTGGAGTTGTGTGTGTTTAGCTTGAAAAATTGATGGTGTCAAGATCATTAAAAACAAACCTGCTTGAGTTCTTCAGCTGCATCATTACAGTCATTGAAAGTAGCCACTCTGTAGGCTATGACTAAGACTGAATAAACCTGCAAATTAAGATTATAGGAAATAATTATTAGATCTACACCTACCTGGCAAGCAATACTTAATTAATCCACCTAACCCTTTATTTGTCCTACTTGCTTGCATCAATCAGATCTTTATCTCCTTAGTTGATTATAAAAACTATGTAGGGATCTCTAAGAAAAAGATCATAGAGTGAAAAAGCTGTTTTCCACTTTACCTTAGAAGTTAAAAAAATCTGCCTTATTATGACACACTTCTTGATTAGTTTTATGTAAATAGGAATGAATGATTCCAGAATGGCCTTGCATTCACACTACTGTCAGGTCATGAAAGAATTGTGATATGCTTAAAAAATGTGATTTATACTTGATTTGCATGTCACAGAAATCAAAGGTCTGTCCTGATTTGCCCTATGGAGAGTTTCAGTTATCAGCCATTCTTTGCAAAGAAAATCACAATATTGAAAAAACAAAAGAAAATGAAAATGTTCATAAAAGACTCACCCCAAATAATCCAATCAGAATGATCGGTGACTGAAAAGAGATTAGTTTTGATGTACTTATATGAATTTTGAAAATTCAAATAGTTTATTTCCAAAAATCAAACTGAATTTAACTACAATCTAGTTATTGTCATAAACAAAGTGAATTATATCAAAACAGAAATAAAATCGTGCTCAATTGAAGCTCTAGAATTTTTTCAAATCAAATTGTGGAATTATTTATTCATCTGTTAATAAAGTTATATTGAAACTGTATGCCAGTTTGTTAAAGATAGCTCTTTTGTGAGATCTCCTGTGTGCAAAGCAAAATTCTTGGATTGGTGGTTTCAAAAATTTAAATAAAATGGTTTGTGCCAAGCAGCTATTATATGGCTCAGTTAAAATCAAAAGCTGCTTGAAGAATAAAAATGGCTGGTTATATATGAAATAGATTGGACAAAAAAATTTGAGAAATATCATTTTTAAATTGTTGTCTTTTCTCAAATTTATACCTATACCCTTTTTTATAAGAATCCTTTTTGTAAGAAAATTCATGATTAGAATCACTCAGTTTTTAAGAATATGCTAAGAAAATTGATCAGTCTCAGATCGCATTTTTAGTCTCATTTTTCAGCAGTTGCCTGTTTTTGGTGTTCGCCGAATTCCCCAAAAACCATATCAGATATGGAAAAAAAATTAAGAATGTATCCAGGCTCAAAACGTCAATTTCTTAAGAATATCAAGCCTGGAAAAAGATTTTTAGTATTCTTGTAATCTATTTAAAGGAATGACCCTATTAAACATTTCGTACTAGCTGCTCCACAACTTCTTTTCTTTAAGTTAGTGTACGACATTTCCTTTGCTGCAAAATATTGCGCCGATAAACCCCTTTTTTCAGGCTTGGTTAAACACTCACTAAAATCATTAAATATTTCTCAATAAGAACTTTAAAGCAAAAGTTAAAAAATATTTTCTTCAGGAGTGTTTTAATTAAAGGCATGTATCTAGCTAACTATATAATGAATATATCTCGAATTAGAAAAAAAATTGGCCTAATGTTTACATGATAATTTTGACCGGATGTACTTGCAGCATACTTACAAGCTGAATAGCAAATTTTGTCGTTTCTGACACATCAAACGGTAGTGCATTCTTCAATGCCAAGAAATAAAGGATAGCATACAAAGTTAGTGCAAAGACCCACTCTTGAAGTTTTGTCATCTTTCCGTTTTTACCACTAATCGACAACTCAGAGGCCACGTTAACAAAATTTTATGTTTTGTTCCCTGTCTGTCTCATTACGAGGCAACGATCGCCTCAGTTGGAAAATTTGAAACTTTTTGGAAAAAGTACTAGGGAGGGTTAAAAATCTTCGAGTCCAAAAGGGGGGGGGTTCTTCTGCATCAAAGGGCCATAGGCGTACGGGGCGGGGAGGCTGGGGGGCTTCAACATCTCCTAGATTCGGACAACTGATTTTTTCAGGCAAAATTTGGGCCGGAGCCTCTTCCAAAACAAAAAGTATTAGAAAAACTACATTTTGAACATGTTTAAAAATCTCTGAGATGAAAAAATCAACTGGTCGTAGTCGTGAGCGCTTTCGAAAGTAATGGAATAGAATAAAGATCTGTTGGGCGAAAAAATACAAAAAAGTGATAAGAAAGAACAGCAACGCCCAATTAGTGATAGTCGAAAAGATTGTTGAAGAAGTAAAAGAAAGCGGTTGTAATGCTGTCATGATTGATGAAACATGTGACGTTTGTCAGCACGAACAAATGTCAGTTCGTGTCATTTTTGCACTGAATGGAGTCCGAAAAGAAGTTTTTGCTAAATGTTACAAAACTCAGTCTTCAGCAATTGTACAAATTGGGATTAAAAGCGTATGTAGAAACTCGTTGACAAATGCTTCGATAGTTTTAAATGAGCGGCAAAGCCAAGGGCTTGGCAAGGCGAATGGAGGACTGTTCTCCGCTGAGCATCAATGTTAACTACCTTAGTTGAATCTTGCAGAAAGTGAGTCAATGAGAAAAGGACTTGGTGTGATTCAAGGTCCCTACAATTCTATTCAGGCCAACACCAAAAACATAAATCGTCATATTGGTAAGAGAGACAAAGCGCAAAGCACTGGCCTTGCCAGAGGGCCAATTTCTTTGCAAGGATAAAGACCCTGAAACCACTCTAGAAAGCAAAGCTCTGTTCAATTGTTTCTACAATGAAATGGATAAAGCTTTGGAAGAGATCTATGCGCGATTTAAAGATTTTCACATTTTATGTGCTTTGGCGAAACGGAAGCATCAGGAGCCCTAAGCAAAAAACTGCTAAGGGCCTCTATTCACGGACAGCAAAAATATCAAACTAAATGGTGAAACAAACACAATAGGAAATAAAAATGTCTCGTTAGCTATGGGGAACTGAGTTTTAGAGCTTCAGTTGAAAAACTTTCAAAGTTTTCAAAAGTTATTTGAACTTCAGCAAAGCGTTAAAGATATGCACCTTGGGTCCCCTTTGGTCGGGACGTAAAAACACATTGGGCTTCTATTGGTTGGGGGCCCTAGGTTATCAAACTAAGACAATATTTCCAACCACTATGTCGATGTCCCTGGATACGGGGATTCAACGACAACCTTTTCTGAATGCTCTAAAAGTTTTTTTCATAATATTCGGCTGAAATGTTTAAACAACAGGCCTGTAACGACACCTATGCCGAGTGTAAATTTGGGTTCTTACCGTGTCTGATCGTTATATCACTCTATGAAAATCTTGTACAACTTCGGCAGAAATCCTTTTGTTTTCGTGAAAAATCCTTTTAAAATCCTATGGTTCTAAAACAATTCATACGCATTCGTGTTTTTGTGTCACATCAAAAGTGGTGCCACAAGAAAGATTCTTAATTGCTACTTTTTGCATGTTTTTTGTATCGCCACAATTATTGCTAGAGATGAAATCCAATTTTGCAAGGTCGACAATTTGAAATTTAAAAGAACCCTTTCCAGTCACATAAACACAATTGCAAAACAATTAACGTCACTTTCTGACATTTTCATTTCCTACCTGTGCAGCTTGGTCAACGAAGTCTTATTCGAGTGTCAATACTGTTGGAAAAACCCTTGATGATAAACCACATTGAAAAAGAATGGGGTAAATCAGATTCTCGCGAAAATCTTTAGCAGAGGTTCCGTTAAACAACCCTAACTTCATTGAAGTATACGGGTAGGTCAGGTAATGATATTCTATCGATTCAAAGCCAACACCCCTATCTCAACGTCTTTAATCCCCCCCCTCTAAACCGTCTCCTCTAAATCCCCCCTGTAAATTCCCCCCCCTTTAAATCCTCCCCGCCCCCCTCTAATCAACTTCTTCTTTCGATGCCTCCATATCTTTCTATAGAGAAACACCAAATTCAAATATTTGAAATAGGAATATGTGAGTCAAAATTGAATTTTGAGAGTACACTTAATGGCTAGTCTCAAACTTTTAACTATAAGATGTTACTTAACTTTAGGATGATAAGTTACAAAAACGCTAGCAAAACTTACACCGCAAAACAAAATGTTCTAAGCTTCAAAATAATTAATCTTCGACTGTGCAAAAGGGTTAGGATCAGCAAATGTGCTCAACAAACGATGGATTGGTAGTCAAACTAACGAGAAAATGAGCTTCTTATCAAAGTTAGAAACTCGCAGCAGAAATATCAAATGAAGCAGAACCTGCAGCGATGGTCAATAAATTGTTTATTAATTTCATAAAATATTAGCCCGGAAATATATAGTTGAATACGAAAATAATCAGATGAACGAAAGAAAGCTATCTCAGGTTGGAAACTCAACACCGTCTTCTCTCAAACACTCATACACTTTGCATATATATTTAATACCAGTGCCTTCACATGCTTTGAAGTCCTAGTAAATTATCAGAAACTAGTTATGTTTCAAGTCCGCCGAAAAATAGTTGGTTAATTAGTAATGTTAACAGAAAAAAGAGGGTAGTTTTATCAACGTTCAGATTTCATTGACAATTTTTCCTTTCAGAACAATGTTGCTACAAAATCAACCCAAATTAAATACTGAATGAAAATTTTATAAACCTGGGAAGAACAGACAGAGCCTTCGGTGTGGCCATGCAAATAAAGTCGCACAGTTTTAAGTAAACGTCTAATCTAGCTTAACAGCTTTGGCTTAAGCATTAATTCAAAGTGCTTCGTTTGTATTTATTGCGTAATACTACTGGATTCGTTATGGCTGCTGCATTTAATCAGTACAAATATTGAGTAATATCATTGTCAGAACGTAACGCCTTCTAGTTCAATTCACCTCAATGAAAACATCGTCACTGTGAATGGATGAAAACAGTGTAAGTGTCCAATCACAAATTAATCCAATTCAATTTAACCTCTCGATTTCGAGTGCTGTATGAGCCATTGCAGTGTGATGTCTACAAAAGAAGATAACGTTGTGAATTGATGTCAGGATAGCAAAAAAATCACAAACTGGTTCCAGGCTTGCATATGCACGACCAAGAAGACCGTGAGATGAATTACTGTAGGCCATATAATTTGAGTTATGAGATAAAGGCAAAAACGTGACTTCAATTAATTGTCAAAGATAGTATTGGAAGTTCTGTTCACTGGCAGCTGGGGTGATTAAAGTTCGCCATGGCTGCCTTAGGATCAGATACAGCTAACTGAGGTTCTGAATAAAAAAAATCAAACATACATATAAGGAAACGTAATTTAACAGAACACAAAGAAACATAATAAGTGTTGTGCACAGAGCCCTGAACTTTTAGAGCCAGCTGTGTTGTTTAAGCCACAAAATTTGCGAAACTTCGGAACCATGCAAATACGACATTTAGCACCAAGATATGAAAGACTGCCATGTTCCTGTATGACACGAAATGTCAAGTATGTCAATCTTACAGCTGGATGTCTGACTATGTACGGATTAGGTTTTCAACTGCACAATACTTGGCTGTGTCCAGTTTAAACAAAGGACAAGAATTCCTTCTTGTTGAAGGAATTAGTTATAATCGTAAAATAAAAGTTAACTTTTAATACTTTTCTATTATAAATTTATCACTCTTTTCTCGCTCTGAGCTGTCTGGTGGTTGGTTGAAAAATTTAATACATACGGTAGAACACTTCTAAGGATTTTAATTGACACCCAAGTTCTTTGTAAAAAACGTCTTGAGATCCGAAGCTTGATTCGAATGATGTGTGTCACTGGTATAAATCTGATTAGGAACTTTTGATTGACATTTGATATTACATATTGTCATTAATCATGTCTGAGAGTGACAGCCTCGTATTTCAAATAACTTGAAATCATTTAACTATCAGCTTCTTTTTTCATCCTCAAGATGGGTGACCACAGAGGTTGCTGCTTCGAAATGAAAAAGCTTCATTAATCTGCAATCCCTGCCAATAACTATCATTCTTGGTACACTATACTAAACGTTTGCACTTTCCTAGTGCATCCCCTCGCTCTTCGAACAATGTTGCTTTATTAAAATGTTAAGAGGCTCGTTATGGTCCAGTTGTTTCCTGTCAGATAGTTATGACTTTTAACATTACGAAAATCATTTTCACAGCTTTTGATTTAAATTCTTTAGGGTATATGACGTAAGAACAGTCAACGAAAATTATCATACATCTATATAACCAGTTGTGGATCGAAAAAGGTCAATCAGAAACGCGAGCACATGACTGTTGACGTTGCCCAATCAGTGCTGTTCGCCTATAGAACATATTAGCAATGGAGTCAAGGAGCGAAGACGAACGCCTTCGGTCTACATAATAGCACAGAATAGGAAATAGGCAGAAGGGTAATTCTCGTCGGTTCCTTTGTTGTTTTTTGAAGCCTGAGTCAACAATAGAATTCCTTAATTCCCCTTTAACCTCGATTTCATAAGACGAACTTAGCCATAACAAATTATCATTTATTAATCAGATATAAAAGAATTATGATACGCAATTGAATTTGTTCACTATGATGGGGCATTTCGTCTCAAAAAAGTTGTCTACTTTCGCTCTTTTTTAAATTTCCCCGACAGATACATGCTAAGCCTCATATAAGTTAACGCATGCGCAAGTTTTTTCAGGGTTCATCTGATAGGCAGGAGTTCCCCTTCTGCCTATTTTCTATTCTGTGATAATAGCTACACAAAAACATCATTTTGTGGGAGCGAGGGCACTGTGTCGGTCTTTTCTAACGGAAAAGAATAACCTTTTTCAAAAAATTTCGAAATAGCTGTAGTATCATCACTATAATAGCAAGCAACCTACCAATATTGTCTTTTTCCTTACAAGAAATTGAGTAGCAGCAAATCTCACGATCCTGAACCGCACCTAGATTTCTGCAAACAGCAAAATTTGACTTTTTTTACATGATAAACTATTAAAAGCTGCCAGTACTCGGTCATATTGAAAAATTGGATAGACAGGGGCCTAAGCTGTGAAAAGCTCAATACAACTGATAAAACTGAAGGCATTTCAATCTCTAGCCTTTGTTGTTTCTGATGTTTGTGTTTGTATATAAATATGTAGACTACAGGTTTTAGCTGTCAAATTTCCTTTCATAGCAATGCACAGAGCAATTCTTATAGCATTTCAGTTACAAAAAAATAACCCAGATATAATTTGTTCACAAAAAATATAACACAGACACCCAAATTTATCCTTGGGGGGGGGGGGGAGTTTACTTTTAGTCAATTGTGTAAAAGAATGTATTTAGTGAATGTAAAACAGCTGTATTTGAGTTAACTGTAAGGAAAACAGAACAAAAAATGACATAAAACTACTTTTAAGGTAGCCTCAAAGATTACATTTATTAAATAATAATTATGTACAATTAAAACTTTCCTGAATATCAAAACTTACAGTCTTTCAATGAGTTCCTTCTCAGTGAGAGCACTTGGTAAATCCTTTTTGTTACCAAGAACAAGAACCTACAAGGGAGAGACACTTAAGCGTGACATTCATCTCACAGTTGAATAGCCTTGAGTTTGAGAGGAGCAAACTGGTCCAGATTTAGTACTATGCTACTTAAAGTACAGTTTCAATGGTTCATAAGTGTTTAGTCAATAGGTCAGTCAACTGTCTTCGCTATTGGTGTTGACATCAAACTGTTAGTGATATCTCTATTGGTGTTCACATCAAACTCAAAACCAATGTTGCAACTTTAAACTATCCAGTTCTAGCTAGCCATACATGACTAATCTCAATACACTAGTACTTTGTGCAACAAGCATATTATCAAGGTTTGCAATCCATATAGGATATAATTTAGATAATTTTGGAACTGTCAATTTCCTATAAAATTTTCTATTTTGCTATTGTCTATTTCTGGTCTATCACTGACATGAGCCTTATAAACAACTTGGTCTGTTATTGTGCTATATCACATAAGGAAACAAACAAAAACAATTTTGAAACCAAACAATAAATTTTCATTATACTACATACATCGAGTAATCTTATGTTTTAGGCTACCAATCAGTAATATTGGCATATCAAAAAAGCTCTTCATGGTGGTATAATTTTTATATGTTTACTCTAATTCTCACCATGTTGGCAATCTATTAACAGTTTTCTTAAAAATTATTGTGCAGTGCAACAAAAAATGTAAGCAGAGCATGTGAATTGAATTATACTAACTGGAATTCCTGCCAGCTGTGGCTTTTCTAGTAAACTGTGCAATTCATTTTTTGTTTGTTCTAGCTTATCATGATCTGCTGCATCAACCATATAGCTGTTGAAATATAAGAAGAAAATCAAAATACATGTTGAAATAGAAAGCACATATAGGAACCAGGTTTACAGGGGATACAAGAAGCATGTGCCCTCACTTTTCAGAAACAGAAGCTAAGTGTATGTCTATAGCTTGATGAGGTGCACCTTTTGTATTTAGATGTGTAACTTCTTGAGGTGCAACTTCAAGTTACCATACAAATATCTTCGTTTGTAGCTTTTTCCAGCTTTAAAGTTCATTTCATTTGCAATTTTACAAAATAATCCTTTTAAATATCAAAGCCAAGTGTAAATCAAAGCCCAAAAGGATATTTTGTGTAAAATAGCAAATAGGTTCATTGTCATTTGGGGTATCTTTGTCAATGTCTTACTTATCAAAGCTTTCCACATATGATGTTGAATGTGTTGGCAATCATGGTCAAACAATTATTGTTGCATCTCAATTAAGCCCCAACGAGGGCTAATTAAGATGAAAGATTGGTCATGTTAGGGCAGGGGCTCATTTGAAGCTAGGAGCTCATTAACAATTTTTACCTCCTGTGCAGCCCTTAACCAAGGGGGCTTATAAGAGGAGGGCAATTTGATTGCCTTTGAGCATATTAGACCATTTACATTCCTACCCAACTCAATAAGGTGCAAAAACTAAACCTATCAGTAACTATTATATCCAGTTAATGACCTGACGACAAAACAAAACTAACATAAAAAATTCACTTACACAATACAGTTCACTCCTCTGCAGTATCTCTCCCACATGCTGCGAAATCTTGGTTGACCTCCAATGTCCCACAACTAAAACAGGAATCAAAACCATTCATTCTTAAATTATTCAACTTAAAAAATTAATTGTAACACAGATTGATGAATACTTTCTCATATATAATTTAACAAAACATAAATTCTACATAATGGGGATTAATCAAGAACATTTCACGTCACTATATAGTGATTTTTAGACATAAATTAGGCTGCATGTCTAAAATGGAAATTTCTAAAGATTGTTAGATTTATTCCAGAATTAGATCTGGCATTGGTAAAGAGAATGGAAACAACAACATCTAAACTGCCTGAGTCATTCCATACAAAATCAACAGGATCATAACTCTAACAATCTTAGAATGAATTAGCATTTTCAATGTATAAACAAAATCATAAGAACACCTCAAATTGAGAATTTAATGACAATTCTTGTATTGTTTAGAAGTTAAAGAAATTTGAAACTTGGCAAATTTTCACTTGTTAACTGCTAATGGTAGCCATTTAGCATTCTAAAATAATGTTGGGATAATTTAAGTTTGCAATGGGCAAACAGTTTGTAACTAAATGCTCTAAGCTTGGACAGCTTCCATATCTCATGGATAAAGAAACTGAAGAAGGTTTTATTCTGAAGTATAAAAAAAATACAAACAGTTTACTTGTTCACTGAATTCACTGAACTAGAAACTTTTTAATCTGCTTTAGTCCTTAACTGATAAAAGTGGAAAACATGAGATCTTAAAGTTCTTTGAATTTTTGCTTTTTTCACATAAAAACCTTTGCTTTACTAGAATTCTGATAAACCATAGAGGCATAATCAAAGATAAAGGCTCATGGCAAAGAGAGGTTAAGGGGATTAATCTAGGATTTACAACAGCAATTATGTCTAGTGCATTATCTTTTTAGCATTGAAACTTTCATTTGCTTAACATTACAACTTATTGTAATGAGGCAAGTCACGGTAAGTTTAGATTATAAATTAAATTTGACAGGTGGCATAATGACATCAAACTTGAGATAAAAGACATTCTGCTTTCACATATTCACTCCCTCCCAAAATAATCTAAAAAAAATACATTTCATAAATAATTACATGCAAAAACTCTTCTATCTTATGCTTCACTTACAGCTTTGCAGAATATATATAACTTAGCAATTAGAAAGGCATTGTAAAAATAACATGTTCAAAACCCTTCTCAGCAGGATTTACAGTTTCATATCATTAACTTTTTCTTTGACCAGTTACATACAGCAGCAGAGTAAGGATAGGTTAGTAAATTGCATTTTTAGAAGCACTTTGAAGGCTGTTAATGGTTTTAAAAACTTGTTTTTATGTTGAATTGTTGTCTGTGCTTCTTGTTTTGTTTTTGTTTGTTTGCTTTTCTATTTGCTTCTTCCTTGTTGTTTTGAGCTATTTCCTGAGTCAAAATGATTGTTTTGTAATTGTTGGAGAAGCCCATTTGCAACACATTATGTGTGCCCACTGAATGGTCTATTTTGTGTACTAAGAAGGTACAGTTTTATTCAATAATTTAGACAGAGGCACAGGTCAGTAAAATTTTTTGTGGCATGCCTTCAGCAGGAGCAGGAAACATCTTTTAAGACATCATGTTAGTAGTATTCCAACTTCTATTGATGTGAATCCATCTTTTGTTATTAATTAACTGTTATTAGATTTTAAATGGTGATGCTTAAATCTGTTAGTTAATGTTTATTTCCATTTGGTTTATTGATAACTCGATGATACTTAATATCAATCACATTCTGATAAGACTAATGTCTTCTCTTCTGGCTTTTTTAATAAAGGCCATGACATTACTTTTCAAATCACAAACATACCTCTGAAATTATTTTTAATACATATTGGCAAAACCTTTTCAAGAAACAAGGCTACTAGTCAATAAGTTTTCTTTGAACTTATGTATCAATAATTTTAAAATAAGGAGGAAAAGGGGAAGCAGGCAAAGAATTTCCAAGGAAGAGATCTAGACAGATTCAAGGCGGTGTGAAGGGAAAGAAGTTGGAGAATAAACATGTAGCAAATCAAGACAAAAGGAGAAGCAAGATCAAACAGACAAACAACTGCCAGGGACAAAGCAATGATAAGCCAGCTAGGTATTGGAATCTGCATCATGCGGATGAGAAGTTTCTTTTAGAGTCTGATGTGCTATCTCAAAAGATTTAGGGTGACAGCTTAATTAACAAACAACAGGAGTGTTGCATGCAATTTTTTGTATATCAATGTCATTAACACTTTTAAGCCAAAAAGGAGACTATTTTAAATATATTTTTTTGATTATTCTTAAATCAATTGCATAAAAAAATATAATTCTTGCCAAGATTGAGGCACATGATAAACTGAAGTTGAATCATAATTTTACCTTGATAGTAACATTTCCCTTTGTGACTTTTCTCATGTTAAAGCCAACAGTGGGAATCATATCTTCACTGAATTGCCCCGACTGCAAAATAATTGAAATTAAATCTGTGTTACATAAAATATATAGACTTCATAACAAAATACATACAATAATATTTAATGAAGATTTGAAAAATTACCATCCTAAGCACCTTATGCCACGTGACAACGTTTACAGTTTCCATTTCTTACTTTCCTGTTTAGAAGCATTATATAATACAACCACACCTTTTCATCATTTTCCCGTTAAATCTTTAAGCCAGTGCATTATTGTTGAACTAACTGAAGAAGTCCTGTGATAATTTCTATGGTAATCCCCTACCAACCCAAAGAAGAATTTTGAAAACATTGTGGCTTTATGACTTTATGAAATTCCACATCACGCTAGAGATGCGATTTTCCAGGTACGCTAGATGCACTGGTTTTACGACAACAGAATACTTTTTTCAAAGACGCTAAAAACGAATTCTTTTTTAGGTATTGGAACAAAGAGCACTCCAAGCGTCCAAGATCCTGGCCAAATAAAATGTTATCTCTTCTGCACGGAAAAGGGAAACGGGATTTCAAAAAGATGGCAAGCCGTTAAAGGAGGCATTCTCTCTTCTTCTATTTTGCTATTCTTATATTTGAAAAACTGTTATTCAAAACATGTTTAACAGACATAAAACTCAGACAGAACATACCGCAATAACATTCACTAATGTTGTTTTTCCAGAATACTGCAGGCCAACTAACGTCAGCTCCATCTCTTCTTTCCAGAAAAGGCTTTTTATCCATTCCAAAAATCGATTAATTATGGCTAGCATTGTTGCCAAGCGATTTTACTAACTAAATAACCTAGCTAACAACTTTAATCAATAATACTTGCGATACAAAGCAGGTTGGTTGACGTTTTGTTGCTGCTTGGCCCTTCTCAGACAGTGAAACAGTAGGCCATTAAACAGTTCCGTCCCGTGACCCTTACGACGCGTAGCCTCGTTTCCAGTATCGTCGTCAAACAATGGCGAAACAATAACACCTTTACTATTGATTGTCAAAATAGCCTTATTAAAAGGCTACCAGATATTCTAATTCCTTATTGAAAGAATGTTTTAAGTGGCAGGGAAAACAGCGTGTTAAACGAGAAACCAGGTGGCAACAAGTTCTCCCATGCACGCTATTGATTATTCATACAGCCTACATTTATATTCAAGACAAACAAATTGCTCTGCTCGTTTTGCTATTAACGATGAAAATTTTGTAAAAGATTCAAATTTGGAAACAAACACTTTTCATGAATGAAACAAAATGAGGATGCAATTGAAAAAATAATTTTCATCAGCAATGAAATCCACAGGCGATATATTAGATCTAGGCATATATCTAGTGATATCGGAGAAACGTTATCGAAGTATAACCATATTAGCAGTAACAGCTGGATCAAATGTAACTCTTCATTTTGAATCCTTTAGCATATATTACTTGATTTTCTTGATTTGATTTCTGACCATTATTATTTAATATTGTTACTGTCTTATTGAAAATATTTACAGAAATAAATAGCTTTACTTTCTCTCGAGAGTTTTAAAGCTGATTCTTCACTTTTTGTAACGTGAAGCTTCATAATCTGTTGTGACCTTTGCAAGCAATCTATATCTTATGAGCCCCCCAATCTTTGTATTTAACCATAAATTAATTGGTTACTCTTAATATTCAAAACTCTCCATAAGACTGGATAAGAATCTATTTCCAACTTAGTATGGATTTCCAAAGCACTGTCATCCAGATAATTCAGATAACTCAACATTAAGGTTTCAGACACATTTGAATGGGATAGATGGCATAATGAATAAATGGTTTTGAAAAGAGGAAACTAACAAATTTGGTGGTAGATGTGTTAGGTTTACATTAGAAGGTCAGTCAGGCACCGCGGAGAGGGGGGGGGCTGGGGGGCTTTAGCCAAATATTAAGTATCAAACTACCAGAAAAGCATCCTTTTATACGGTTTTAACCCCCCCCCCCCACTTTTTTCGACCCCCCACTTTTCTTAACGCTCCGCAGCGCCTGTCAGTGTTTTCTGCAGATAATCACTAAAAGTATCAATAGATGAATTGGGTTAACGATAGATACAGCCAAATAAATTCTGTTTACCATTTTTTTCTCAATTTCACAACCCTCTTTTACTAGGCCTCATCAGGGCCGGAATGAGGTGCCATTGATGCTACAGCATTAAATCCATTCCTGGCATAGACCAAGACAAAAAAGACGCTAAAATTTTCTGAAGCTGAAAAGTCCCAATAATAGGCTCTTTTTGCTGCAGTATCAGGCCAAAATAAAGCGTTATCTGGCACTACGGAGTCTGGGCTAGGAATATGAGAAAGAGCTGCTTTTACATAAAGTGCACAATTTTCATTTTGACCCTGCCATCTGACTGGGACGTAGTTGTTGTAACTATGAACTTCAACTTTTCCACTTCTAGGATTCTCCATCCAATCCCAAGTTTTAGATCGACCTATGTCACCAAAGGAAGTCTTTAGACTTGCAAAGGTAAAGACCAGCCCATCATGATGAGGCGAAAGACATATCCCGATTTCCGTGTGATGGATTAATAAGGATTAATCTTTTTCACAAGTAATAACAGTACGTAAATATTTGCTGCGTATTTGCTGAAACCCGATTATTAATTGACCATTTTTAGTTTTTTGTTACTTGTACAGTAATTGTAGAGCAAAAATATATATGAAATGATAAATTTATATAGTGGTACAAAGGATTCAATCAATTGGATGAAAGTAGGTCATTATGGAGCATAGTGGGTTTAAAAATATGCAATGATTAAATGTTGTAGATAGGATTTCTCTGTTGTAAAATAATATACATGCTTTGAATGATTTTTTACATGGTAAAGTTTCAGAGCCCTATTTTTCGTCCCACTTTCTGCTGCCGGTAGCAGTGGCGTACCCAAGGGGGGAATAGGAGGGTCCGGACCCCCCCCCACTTTTCTAAAATGTGATCCTCGAGATTTGTCCAAAAACGATGTAAAACTCATAAGGGGGGGGGTGTAGTATACTGTATGCTTTTGTCAATAACAATTGTAAAATACTTTGCTATTTACTGTAGCTGACATGAATCAAATAATGGCGGAAAATTTTGCAAAAGGGCGTTTCCCCGCATTTGCGAGTGTTTGAAGGGCGTGGTCCCAAAAAAATTCTGGGGGCTGCGCCCCAGACCCCCCCCCCCCACTTCTCGGGCCCTGGGTACGCCACTGGCCGGTAGGGCTACTTACTTATGTTTTCTATATCCTGAAAATCAAATGCAAGATCTTTAGAGAATATGAAAAGCAATCAGAGGTGGAAATTCGTTGCTTATTTTTAGAGAATTATAATTCGTAGCCTTAACAGAAGTATATGATGCAAGCCTTACCTCAAAGTCATGGGTGCCGTGGAGTTCAAGGGGCTCAGCATCGTTGTTTAAAAATTCAGATATATTATAGGGGGCTAAGCGACAACGATGCAGCAGAAACGATGCAGGCTCGAAGTTAAATGATTTTTTTAATGCTCTCGTTGCTAAAAATTTTAGGACTACATCACTGCTCAAAGTTGTCGAAGAATTAAATAGAAAGTTTTTAAACCTATTTTTGGAACCAGTGGACACTGAGTAACAATTATTTAACCGCCCCTGCGCAATACAGAGCGAACGAACTCTTCGTTCCTAAAGTCCATTTTAAGACATTTTCTCCTAAAACGAGAGTTCTGTTTACCACTTGTTTACAACTTTCCTGGGACACAAATGTCAAACCACTTTTAACGCTGATTTGTTTCGCAGACACTACGCTATTGATTACGCAATCATATGCTGGTTTTTAGTGGAGATCCTATATATATGAAGTAAAATTGTTGTAGAATTTTAACGCCTTTTGAGAACGTCAATCCTTTTGACGCTCATAAAAGCGATAGTTACAAAAGATATCCCATATTCTCCATTAATCGATTCAACACTCGAGACATTCCGTGCTGCTTTTGCCTACAAATTTGAAACATGCATATCGATCAATTCAGGCTAACACGTCAAAATCCTTCACGAAAATTGGCTTGTGGCTGCTTAAAAACTTCAACCGTGCTGTAGAGAACTATGCATAGTGCCTACTGATTGTTTACCGTGCTATGGTAACTCTTGTCACAAAAGAATATTCTCTATATGCGTTATTTATCATATATCATACTATCTAGATAGATAAATCAAGTTAAAAACAACTGTCAATGTTGGGCGTTTCTGTTTACAGACACCATTAGCAGCGAGCCTTGCCATTGAAGGTAAAGAAAACACGAACTCCTTTTCTCTACACAGTAGCGGTTTTTTCGTGCTTATGTAGATAGATTTTAAAACTGCCAGGTGGAACGACGATCGGGCTTTACCAATAATCCGAAACATGTCGCCATTATAGTTTTTCGCACAATCTGGGTTTTCTAGCAAATGCTGCCCGATAGCAGAATCGCAGGTTTTATTAGTAATTTTGGATTTGCAAGACCGAGGTGGCTGTTCTCCAACACATCCCCAAAGAGAAAACCACGAAAAAACCGCTACTGTGTAGACAAAAGGAGTTCGTTTTCACCTTAGGACTCCATTGGTAACATTCTAATAGGCAAGCGGCACTGATTGGTCAACCTTTACAGTCATGTGCTCGTGTTTCTGATTGGCCTATTTCGATCCACAACTGGGTACATATATTTCTTAGCGTAGAGTTTTCGATCTATGTTCTGACGTTTTAAACTCTGAAGAGTGTCAGACGAAAAGCTTTAGTTTACTAAATGTTTGCTTTTTTCAAAGCTATAAACATGAAGTTCACCATTTAAAGAAAATTTATGCCAACAATATGGGGACCTAGGGATGTTTTACTTTATACTCCCTTGAAAATGTGTGTGGCAAAGCTTGTTTCGTAACATTATTAGCAATTTTCAAATAGTTAGATGGCATGGCTTCCAAATTATAAACATCTTGGTTTTGTTGGAACGTCTTAAGACTATTATCTGTCTAGCCTACCCTGGGTACCATACCAGTGCTGCATAAATTCGAGCGTGGAAATAGAAGAGAGTAGCGGAGGAGCATCTAGCTACCTCCCCCGCGTCTAGCTGGCTCCCCCTAAACTTCTATATAGCTGGCTTCTACTGAATTTTGTCTGGCCGAGCCTTGGGAGTGTTCCCGTCAACCTCCACCCAAAAATGAAGCCTTTTTACGTTTGTGAAAGTAAAGAAAAGCAAACAGCGTGCATGTGTGGTCTATAAGTCACTAATATCATTTATACCAAATCTTCAGAAGTATGATGCTACCCGTAACTCCTTTGGCGTTGCTGTTGAGAGTAGGATTTGTCGTAAGCTCTTGAATAGAGCTCATCCTCAGAGGATATTTGTTAATTATCAAAGATTGATTCTTTGAATTTTCTTTTTGTTATATCTAGGTTTGATGGGCTGGCCAATCTTTGGCTTGCTACTTGCTGAATCTCTGAAACCATTATCTGGATTAAAAAATATTTCTTATCTTGCTATAGACTTTAGTTGATTGCAAACTTCCAGCAGTTACTTCATTTTTTATAAGAGTTTAGAATATTTTTCAATTCTTCAGGATTTCCTTCCAAGGAAGTTTACACTAAGCTCTTTTTGATGATTAGTTAACCCTTACCCCCCCTATCCTCCAACTTGTTTCTGACCCCCCCCCCCCACCCCGCCTGCTATGATCATTTTATCTATTGAATTTGCCACTCCAAAGCAGACATTCAATTTCATAACATATTGGGTATCAGTCCAGAGAGTTCCATGGCCCCTATGAGGTGTGATACTTTCCTATCACTATATAATGGATGTTTGATGTTACGAGAGAGTATTACACATCAGCTTCAAAACTTCTATATGAAATAAGCTGTATACCTCGCATCACTTCTTGCAATTATATTGAATTTTCTTAAAATGAAATTTATACAATTTCGAATTCCCATACACAATCTAAATTACGAAATTAATGTACTACAATATTTAAAAAGCAACATATTACATTAAACCTATTACATTATATCCAGAAATATCAAGTTTGGTGCAGTTTAGACACGTTTTTCAACCAGGGACGGTGGAGCACACATTGAAATGGGAGGCTTAAGACAATTTGGTAAACTCTTATGATGGTTTGCCACCATTATCTTTGATGCTACCATCTTGGTACCAGCACTAAAAGTGAGCCTCAACCCCCTTATGACGTCACAAAGGTGCTTCTTCTTCTTGAGAATAAAGAATTTTCAGCCAAATTACAGCTTATAAGTACTTTGCTGATGGGAAGGTAAAATAAATGTGAAATGAGACGAATAGCTGCAAGTCACTATTTCAACAAAGAATAAATAGGAAAGTAAAATACAACAATTACAGTCGAAAATGGTACAAAATTTGGTTAGTTATGCATGTTTTTCTTATTGCTGTTTTTTTCAAAGTTGTTCTTCTAATTTCGTTTATAACTTAAGGATCTAGCTGCCCTTTTGGGCCAGGAGCCATAGCTGAAACTTAAAAAATTGGGGGGGGGGGGCAAACGAAAATAAAGACTTTGGTTATCAATAAGTAACAATATAACTTGCTGAATAGTGCAGGGCTCGTGGCATAACCACTCATGTCCCTTAGTGTACCCCCTTGGTTTATCCAGGCACAGTTTATAGCTGGATCAGAATATAAGCGCACAACAGCACCCTCCTTTGAAGTTTACCGACTTTCTTAGCCCAGCCTCTCTTCTAAATATAGTGTAATTTAATGGAAGTTGCAGAATACTAAATTTTTCAAACAACAATACAAAAGGTATAAAATTTATAAAGGTGCAGATTGTATCAAATAGATGATAATCGCTTATACTATACGAAAACGCAGAAGACTATAGTGCTAAAGAATAAGAACCATGACATGCACGCTAAAAACAAAATCGTGATGTTAAACTGGCTAACCAATCATGATACAATTCCCTTTTGTCACCAGACATTCCATACAATTACGTCCCTTGGGTACATTCCATACAATCAGCTAAATGCCAATTCAAATTGAATGGAATTCAAAAATTATATCTCAATAGCTGGTATAGAAACGTTTTGTTTGCAAACGATTAAAACAGCTCCTATTAAGTGTCAGAATTTGGACCTCTGAGCTAAGGTTGTGTTGTTACAATACAACGCTAGTAATATTGGTACTCCAAAGGAACTTAATGAGCAAAAGCTATAAAAAAACTGCTCCAAAAGCAAATCTGTTTTATTGTTGTACACCTTAAAATTGCGGTTAATTATTAATAATTCTTTGATTGTCCTAAATGGTAAATTAAAATTAAACGGTATTTTTCATACTATAAAAATGTTTCTTGCATAGGGTTATACTTGTAGCTCGTTTTCATATTTTTACATTTCATATTTTATATTTAGACATCGAAATCGTTTTTTACTGCTTTATAGTTTCATCTTAGAAAAATGAATGATTTCTAAATGTATTCCAGCATCTGTTATAATCCCGTCGATATTTTGCTCATGATGAAGTAGTTTGCTTGTAATACCATGTTTTGTTTTCATTGCAATGCATGTCATATAAAAATAACGAAGGATTGCCCTGACGATCTGCTTAACAAAAAGAAACATGATCCTTAACTAATTAATTTGTTTTTTTATATTCCTATAAACCTATGCCGAAAATATTCGAAGTAATACCATTAACTCACAATTGTGGGACAACTGATCTTTTTTCTATTAATTTGTAAAAAAGGAAAAAATTCAATTTCCAAGCGCTTACGGCATCCGCTCTGCTTCAAAAACCATTACAAGCCACAAAGCATTTGAGTGCAATTTTGAATCAATTTTTTAAAGGTGTGTCTTTTCCCCTTTTTTTTGTCATATAAATGATTAAGTATCATAACAAGAGTGTAGCTCATTGAATGTGCCCTAATCCACTTTATTAAAGAAAAGATTACACATTGCGTTAGGAACAACAAACTGTGTGTAGAGTGAACGTTTAGGGCTATGTTTGGTGGCCAGAAGCCGTGCTAGAACTCTGATTAACAGTATGTTATCAAGACTAATATAAACTTGGCTCCATCTTGTGCTATTAGCTAGCACTATGGTGTGGTTTTAGGCTGTGTATAGCGCAACAGACTTTGATAAAATTATGCAGATGCCCCTGTTAGCAATGAAGATCAAACCCTTATTGAGATCAACAGAAGACGCATATGAAAAGAAGCTAGTGATTACCATAATCCAAGGCTACGCGCTCCGGGAATAGACAATGATGTTCAGCCTTGTGTATAATTATGCATATTTAGTTAAAGTTCTGATCCCATTTGTATGAGGTACTGGCCTGCAGGAGAAGGACCGAGAAAAATCGAACGTCCTGTTCTTCAGGGCCTGCTACTAGCATACCATTTGGTACTGGAGATATACGGGCAAAACTTGCAGACCTGTCATTGGTAGGTACCTGTAATTACGTTTGATAACTTTGCTAAACTTTGGGAGATACCGCATGATTACTGCCGCAAACATATGTTTTCTGGAACTCTTTCTCTGACTGCATCCTATAGGTATTCTTTGCAAAAATGTTTTGCAATTCTGTTGTTGTTTTTTGCGTTATATTCCATGGGATGTTTGCGAAACCTCCATCGTATATAACACTAAAACCAAGACAGATTTTTAAGACTTTCGTAGTATTTTACCTTATCAATAAACAAATCTTTTTAATCAAACTATTATTGGTCGTACTTATGATAACAAAATTATCTGAAAAAATTGCCTTTGATACTACCAAATTAAATAGATCGTTCAGTTTGCTCTCTTCGATTCGTTTGTTCGAGAGTTTTTCATGGAAAAGTTGAAAATGGGAGACCATTTGCTAGCTATTGAATTTCTTTCATCTTGTCAAACAGAAGAATTCAATTTTCGCGAATGAAAGACGCCCTTACATGACTGGTGTAAACAATTGAAGAGAAACTAGAAGCATGTAATAATTCGAGATATTGTAGTGAAAAGAGTGACCGAAGTTTCAAAATATTATGCTTCTTCTCTCAGCCATTCAAGGTTGATTTTCAAACTAAAAACAATCATTGCTTGTCCTATCGTTTGTAAAGTTTACGGAAATGTTTCAGAAACTTTCCAACCAACGAGAGTCAATATTTTTGGGCAATGTCTCAATTTTTTAGATTAAGTCTGATATAATAGGCTTTCTGACGCATGCAATGTTTCACGTTTGAGGAAACAGCTTTTCTAAATAAGGTTAACAAGAGCAACGGGCATCTTAAATTTTGTTATATTCTATGACGAAACGATTTAATTTGCTTTCAATTACTCATCTCTATTAGTTTGTATATAACTTCGTTTACATGATTACCAGACGTATTGTTAGGCATTGAACTCATTCTTTTGGACAGGCATTTTCGCTCTTATGCTAAAAAGGTAACAAACACTATGACGTCATAGGTAAATATGTTGGCAGCCATTTACTATGGAGGCGCATTTCGAGATTTGGCTTTATGAACGTCAGAAACGAAATAAAAAATGATAAGAATTGAGTGGGCGCCAAAGCCTTTCGTGAAAATTATGTCTTTCCTGTCCATCAAAGTCCTATCCTGAATCTCAGATGTTTTTAGATGATTTGTACTGCGGAAAGGATCAACATTTCTCACTTCATTGCCCAAAGAAACATTTTCGTATGAGCTAATTGGTTTCCCTTCTGACGTCACCCTACGTATTTGCGTATTCTTAAAATCAATTTCCTCCTTCGAAAACATTGATTTCCATTTGAAGCTGGTTTGTCCGAATCCTGGATAATCACAATTCAAGCAAACCCTGGGTTCATTCATGTGTCGAAAAGCTTCCAAGCCTTATTCATCTTTTATAACGCTAGTCATCCTCAAATACTTTCCAATCTTTATCTTCTGTGTGTGTCCATAGGTTTGTCTTTGACCCTCATACTCTGTGCTATTTGAAAATACGGGACCAACAGGGCCTACGCCACGAATTTGAAGCTGGGGGGCCAAGGTTAGCAAAAGTAGGGGGCCAAGGCTTTTTTCCTTTTTACTACAGCTTTAACACTATTTGCTTTGCAAGAATATGGGGGAGCCATGGCCCCTCCGGCCCTGACCAAAGAACAGTAGCTGTTTGAAGGTCGACGACCTATACTACCGTTCTACTGCTAGTCAGCGTATTCGTTCGTGGCTGATATAGATATTCGTTTGTTCGTGGCTGACCCCTGTAATTTATCACTTAGATGTTATGCAATACATTGGTTGCTTGGCTACAGTGTTTTAGTTTCCCTTTAGCTTACTGGTCTTATTGGACTTGAAAAGCAAAGATGCTTTGCACCGTGGAGCATATAACGGAATGGGGGGCTTAAAGGTTTTGGGCCTCGTTTTGGAAATTATTTTAGGGCTATAACCCCCCCCCCCCCCACTCTCCCCTCCAACTCCGCATCCCTGTGTTGATTTTTAGACAATGAGGAAGAACAATCCCGCTCCCTGTTCTTGCAAGAGGATGCAGAGAGAGAGTAATATCCCCCTATCCAAAACAACAACTGCACTACCTCCCCCCCTCCCCCTCTTGTGGAAAACAGCAAGCGCTGGCCCTGGTCATCCTCTAATGGCAGTGACAAATGGAGCTTGTTACCCTTGGCAAAAAGCAAAGCTCCTCTCCAACGGACATTACTTATGTTCATGAATTAAAACCAGAATCTCTGAAATATGGGGAATTTTAAGTTTTGACAAAGGAATAAAGCAGAAACTGTCTGTTTGTTAGAACGGTCTTAAAGCTGGCTTTGGTAACACATAGGGGCCTATTCCTTGACAGCGGCGATGGTGTATGTGAGCTTTAGAAGATAATCACGCCTTTTAATGCCTTGACTGTGTAACGTTTGTTGGATTCGTATAAAGCATGCATTCTTTCCTTTGACCAGGTTGTATCGATCAGTATGTGTTCAAGGTCTTTCTGTAATCCAAACAAAATATCCTTTTGTTTTCATTTGTTTTCCAGAAAGCAAATATTGATCAAACTTTGCAATGCTGGCGATAGTTTTCAACATGAAAATTAATGGCAAAAACAAACAGTTTAATGAGTTTTCAATATAAGTATTTATGGTGGTCACGACTTTCAATTTTTTTGAATTAAATGAATATTTAAACAAGCTCCAGGACACTGTTGCAAGGAGAAATGATGAAAAATAAGCCGTGTTTTGGTTCTTGTCTTGTCGCTAATCGTTAACTGATTGACTAGTATTGGCTGTACAATGTATAAAAATAACTTGCTGAAAATTCCAAACATTTCATGAATATACTCCGCAAATTTTGAAGTACATGAAATACTAGCAAAAGGCTAATCATCCACTCCCAGAAAAGTAGAAAATGATCCGAAAAAGGACCGCTACCCAGAGGTAAACTATGAAATCCAGAAGTGTTGTCGTAAACAGCTAGGAGGACGCTGTGTTGTAGGCAACTTCTAGAAGCCACACCCATACCACCCCCATGACACACCCGTGATCACACCCAATATCCTTTCATTCGTGTTAAAGATTTTCTATTTTGTATATGAAACCATTCACGGACAAACTATTCACGGACACAAAAAGATTGATAGGAAGTTGCTTATCAACGGAAGGTCAAAGGCACAAAAAGGAATTTTAACAGTTGGGCTGAGCCCCACAAGCCTCCTCCACGGAACCCCTGCAAAAAGCCACTTCATAACAGGGTAATGCTTAGACACCCAATAATTCGCAAAGTAATGAAAAATACAGTAAACCATCTTGCTCTAGGCAATGGCCATGCTAGACCCCCCCAAACCGTTTTACAGCCCGATCCGTAAAATGCTCCATGTTCCCCTGGTACTAGGGGATTTTGAATGTCTAACTCATTTTTCAACGCCACTAGATCTTTGTTCTTAAACTCTCAATTGAATACCCAAAACAGGGAAAAGTTCACAAAAGTATTTTGGCAAACCCAGCTCACCTTAACAGAACATATTTCAAACCCTAACCCTAACCCTAACCCTAACCACATGCCGGCTGGCGCAATGCACAAACTATTTTCAAGCCTCTAAGACTGGTTCTTGTTACCTACGCTTGTATCTGTCTGCTTTTGCAATTTCTAGTCTTCTTCATTTTTGGAGTTCTGGAGGAATAACGAAACATAATAATGGATATTGTTTTCCATAATCTAGTACTGCTTGGAGATCTTTTGATGAGCTAACGAGCGGCGTGGCTACAATCTCTGCTAAAAGTCCTGGTACGCCACTCTAGATTTTTGCACACTCTTGATAGCAGCCACGTTCCACCTTCGAACAATTTTGTTTTTGTTGAAAGGTAAAAGTTCCACTGTCCTCTTATTCATTCTTCTCGGGGAATTGTGATATTTAATTCTACAACAAGCATTGTTTTTGAAGAAGGGGTGCATTGTCAATCATATCTATTGGGAGCTATTAATTTTAAGAAAAAGAAATTTCAAGCGACTGGGCGTTCTAAGAACTTATGGCAAGGATAGTAGATGTTTTCTTAATGACTATTGCCTCTAGACTTCCAAAGAGATAACCATTATTTGTTAGAACCTCAACCAAATATAAAAAGATAATGTTTATAGATGCTTTTTCGAAATATGCATAGTAAACGAGATTGTTAATATTTTTGACAAAAGTTAAGTTTGTTGTTGTTGTGAAACTCCTATGAGCCTGCTGGAAATATGGCGCAGTCTAAAAGCTTTTTGTCATAGCTCATTTTTAGCAATATTCTTCCTTTAATACGATTCGTGTTAACGTGAGCGCTATGTTATAGCGTCTGGGATCATCTTATGGGCTTATTCAAGATCATAAATCAATTTCGTTTTATGTTGATTGAATGATTAATATCGATTGACTGATTAATGGGTCTCAGCAAGCATAAATGAGTTTGAATCAGTTTTAATCAGCTTTGAATGGCATTTATATTTAATTTTGTTTAGATTTACTACCGAGCACAATGTGCTAGTGTCTAGATGCAGAGAAGCAGCTTGGGTTGACGGACAAGTGCGCCAGTATGTAACAATATAAGGTCATCTTGCATGAGCTTTTAAAACAGGTTGAATTTTGGCCGCTTAACAGGGGAGAAGAGAGGCTGTTGTCTATTGGTGGTCCACAGATCTCTATTGTCTCATGTTTGTGAAGCATCTTGAAAGACAGGCTGGTTTTAAGCATGGTCCTTGAAGCCTAGGCTATTGAATTTTTTAGGCCAAGAGTTTTGGGAACCATATGGTAAAATGACATTGCTTTGGTGAAAAAGTTAATAGATTAAGGTTAGAAAGGGAGTGCACACGCATGTATATGATTCCAAGGTCTTCAACTACGCCCATGTCAATGCTTCTAGATCTTGAGTCAGAGGAAAGACATGCCTTTTTGTACAAATAATAATCCATATCAAAGCAAAATAAATAGAAAAGAAATAATGATTTAGGGCTGCTCTATCGTCCATATTGTTAGCAAAAGGTGGAGAGAACTGCTTCAATGTGCGTTGACTACTGTCATGAAGTCGCAACCGAACATTTCGACACTGCTTTGTGATGTTTAGCTGGTTATTCGAATGATTTTTCCCGCCACACCCTTCTATTTGTGTAATTCCGTGCATAAATATTTATTTTCTGTTCTAGGTAACACGTGACATAAAATAGTCGCACGCAAGAGAAACAGGTGGTCAAGGATGAATGTGAGGTTGTAAGGTTGCACAGCAAAAGCAAGAAGTGACAATAAGATAAGTGAAGACTATGTTTTAAAATGTCCATCAGGATAAGCTCCCGTAAAACTTCAAGTTCAGCACCAATCGTCATTAGGCCATCTCGGCCTAAGTACACCAGTGACGATGAGGATAGAGATGTGAACACAAAATCATCAAATGACACTGAGGAGGAGACTTTGTCGTCATGGAAACAAGCTGACTCTAAAAAGGATGATGATTACGAAGAAGATTTTAATGAAAGAAACAATAACAAAACAACAGACTATTCAAATGAACCAGAAAGGGATGATTCAAACAGAGATGTTGATAAAGATGAAGTGTACCAGAATGGTGACACAGAGGTGGACCAGTCCGCGGACAGTGACAAAAAGATCCCACCTGCTGCACCACCAAAACCTGCACCAAAAATGACCATTGCGCCAACGAAAGTGGCACCTGCTTTGCTGCATAAGAGAGAGAAACAATGGCCCCCACCGGCACCAAAGACGTACGATGCGTTTGCGGTGGAGGGGCATGGGCGCATGAACCCATACACCAAAGAATTCATAAAAGATGAGGAGGAGATTGAAGAAGAAGAGGTAGATAAGAGGTTGGAGATAGATGAAGGCCATACGGCACCTGTGAAACAATTGCGAAAAAATTGGCAAGGAAGAAAGGACGGCCCGATGCTGGGTGTGCAGAGGCCGGCCGCAACTATAAAGGGAGAAACTGCATGGATAAAGCATGTGAAACCAGAGATAGAATATGAGGAGCCTCCGAAAGAGCCGGAATGGTTGCAATTGGTGCGTAACAGAAGATGGAATTCGACAGTAAAAGCCAGATTCCCTTGTAATACAGATGATATTGTTGAGTTTGAAAGGAGATCAACAACACCAAAGAACTGGAAGCGATTGTTGCTAGATAAAAAAGCCGTGCGCACAATTGGACAGATTACAGGAATTGGAGCTGAGGGCGAAGAGCTGTTGTGGCGTCTGGCGAAGCAGAGAGGGAAAATCGAGGAAACCAAAGAGATACCCATACCAGGGGAAAAGGACATTTTAGCGTATGAATACATCAAGGGCAATCTTGAGGCAGCTGTTGCCGAGGCTGCTATCCATGGAATGGAAGGAAGCGAGGCAGGAGACACGGAGTCATTGTTGGACGAGCTAGTCAAGCCTGCATCATCTGACCGCAAGGCAAGTTCAACATCATCAGCTCCCGTGTCAGCGGCAACGATTCGCCAGAGGCTGCTCAGGCTTCATCCGGAAGAATTCAAGAAACTGCTTGCTCTGGACCGGGCACGTGATGCCCACCTTCGCTGGCAATTCTCCACAGACCCGTATGACTCAGTTCACGAGCATCAGCTTCAGCCGTTTGAGATTGCCTTGCTAGCCGGCGAAAGGGAAAGCAGACTGCGATACTTGCTTAAAAAGCTGCTCCGGACAGAAGACATGACAATGTCCTCCCATTCATCAGGAACATCTACACCGGTTTTTGGCAAGCCAAGAGGCCGGTCTTTGCCCGGTAGCAGCTACACGTCTGATCAAGAAAGCGATTCTGGGTCTTCAGTTTCCAGTCAAAGGAAATCCAGGGCGAAGAAGAAGCCCCCGGTACCACTTCCAAGAAAAGGTAGATCGGTGAGCCCAGCAGCAAAGGATGAAGACAGAGAGGTTCTGCATGGCTTTTTAGGTCCGGAAGAGGAGCAAATAACATCAGAATTAAAAAGACTTGAAGAGATGGCCAAAGGAATAGGGTTGCCCAAAGAAATTTCAGATCTGTTGAAAGAAAGTGTTGGAAAACAACCCAAATCAAGAGAGAGACCTGAAGATTCAATTTCAACGGGTCTTGGAGATCGCATGAGAAATTTTGCGACAGATCCTAAAACGAATAAAGTTGTGTCTTCAGCAAATGAAAAAGAAGTGCCAAGTAATGAGATTAAGCGTTCGCTTGAAGATAGGAAGTTGAGTTTCTTTGGCCAAGCAGAGAAAGCAAAGAGCTACAAGAAAGAGGAAAGTGAATTGGATGACACTGACGGTGCAAAAGCATCTGAGATTGACATGGAAGAAATTTCTTCAAGACGTAAGAAGTTCCAAAGCCAAGAGCGGGAGGCACAGAATGTCAGGTATCAATTGGTTTTGTTTGTACTTTGTCTAGCGGTTGCGCTGTATAGAATACAAAAATTAATATTTCAGAACTTTTCAATTTTTAAGCACATAACTTAAAAAGGCATTATGAGCTAAATTAATGTACAGTACAATCTCGTTAAGTGGGACACTCAAGGAACCGAGCAAAAGTGTACTACTTAGCGGGCGTCCTACTTATCCGAATGCTTGAAAAGGGTAAGCGAGTTCAAGTGACCGGGAAAATCTGTACTACATAGCGAGCGTCCTACTTATCCGGGGTCCCACTTAACGTCCTACTTATCCGGAGTCTACTGTATTACGACGAAGAAACAGAGGTCTGGCCACATTAGCAAATACACTTTCTCCATTAAACAATTGTAACTAAGTTGTAATCTTGTCTAGGTTCATAACTTTTTGAACCAGACCAGAATAACAGTACTTCTTTAGCAAACCAGCAATCTTTCATTGGTATTTCGAACCCAATTTTTGATGAAATCATGTTTCGTTGATCTATCAAGGACCCTTCGATCATGAAAGTCGTTACAAGAGAGTGGTTGCTAAGCTACTCAGGAAACGAATAAAGTCACTTTTTATCACCGTTCTCCGTCTAATTTATACGATTCTTGACAGCGCTGGTTATTTTTTGAAACAAAATGACTCAATCCTTCTGCAAAGACCTAAAAGCTTTTGCAGTACAAAATGTCTATTTAAATTGAACATAATATTTCTTTTTCAACGCAGAGCTTCCTATGAAGTCTCTACTTTTTGCTATCCATTCATTATTTACAAGGACTAAAACTTTCTTTCCGGGCTAATTTCACAATGCTTAAGTACTCACTTTTAATTTGAATCGAATACATTGCAGAGACACCCTGTGCAGATCAACCAAATGTATAGTTCTCATTCAAAATATTTTTTTTCACAAACGCGACACATGATTTGTCAAAATTTTTTCGGTATATGTGCAACAAAAGGGATGTTACGGAAGAATGACTTCAGAAGGTTCTTAATAACGATAAACTCTAGCTGAGCAGCTTTAGCAATAATCAAACAAGTGTAATGAAAGTATTTTAATTGTCGTTTTTTATGGTCACTGTCTTTCTTATCAGTGATGCTTTTGTCGTTTTCAGCAAAGTTCCAGAGAAAAGCAAGGCCAGACACAAGGTTCAACGCATCAAAAGTGATGCTGAGTTATATGCAGTGCTCTCTAAACGTCGCATGGCAACTGATGACGAAGACACTGCAACGGAAGAGCCATCAAGTGAGATGAAAGGAATTATTGATGACATCACAAATACATTTGGTAGTGGAGAAAAGCAGTCGAGTAAAGGGAGGAGAAAGCCTCGTTACCAAAGCAGTGAAGACAGCGAGGCAAATGTAATTGAAGAGAAGGAAGAAATAGATGAAGAAGATGATGATGTTGATGATGAAGACGAGGCACCCAGGCGTAGATCTAGAAGAGAGGCAAAGGCAGACAATGGTAGGCAGGCCAGGCAGAGAGCTCGTAAATGGTCGGAGAGTGAAAATTCTGAAGAAGAAGAAGATGGAAGGTAAATGGCGTGTAAATTACTATTGAGTGGAGTTTGGTGTTCCCGAGGAGAAATACTTGAATTTGCAGTAAATTTATCTGACATAACACTAAACTCATACTTTTTAACTGAATATTTTAATTATCATTCATCTTCTTCAAAATGGCATTTCTATACTGCAACGGTAGGTAGAGATAAGTTAGTCTTTGGTGCATTGCCGCAGATAGCCAGGGCAGTCGCTGTCAAATATGTTTATAATGGTCTACGTATTATGCAATCGCATTAGATATTGGCAGTCATCGGAAATCGGTCGTTGGCAGTCGCTAGCAGTCGCTGAAAGTCGTTGACTATCACAAACAGTTTACCATTATAACAGTGGCCTTATTGCACTAAAAGTGGAGCAAACACTATAAGCAGTTAAATCTTCAGTTTTTGCTACTATTTGTTGATAACAGCTTTTGATTATTGCTAAACACGCGAATTGCCATCTTCACTATGGTACAGGCTAAAGGCAATTTTCTCTAAAAAGAAGGAGCTAACATAAGGTATTAGGGAAGGGGGGTACCCACAATCTTTGTCAAAATATGCTCCACTTCATTCTATTGAAAATTGATAAAAATACATCAGATAGAGGGGGGGTCATATTTCTTCGAGATTTACCTTAAGAAAATGCACTTGGCAAATAGAGCTGAAATGTGGCAACACGGGCATTGTCTTGTGGGTAACGCCCATGACCCTCCCACTCTGTATCAGCTGATGCCGCCACTGAATTCAGGCAGGTAGCATCATAGACATCGTGCTACAAAATTCAGCCAACCAACTGCAAGATGAGACTGCATGCTGGAATATCTTCAACGCGACTGGCAAGGGAAAGTGACGTAATGAATCTTATAACAATGTATTCATAATATGGAGCACTTAATGGATTAGGATTTAATTTGGCTATAGATTGCCTTTTTACACTGGAATGGCATAATGGTTTATGTCATGATTTGTCCATGTGACTTTTTGTACGCAATTTTTTTAAAAATTTAAGTGAATTATGCTTAGATTGAATAAAAAACAGTAGAAATTTACATAATAGGACCATGTGTTGACAGGCAAAGAACTTAAAAACACGATTTGAAAATTCATTCTTTGAGCAACAAACTTGGTACAAGCGTATTTAAAAATTGTATTTTATGAATCTAAGCTTCAGTTTTATTATCCTTAGGATTTGCATTCGAATAATATTTTACACTAGTTATTATGGCGATGCACTGGCAACAATAATTAAATTACAATGAATTTTCAATTGGAAGTCTTCTACTTTTTGATGCTTGCCTTGTATAATGTGCAATTTGTAATGCAGCTGTGAGTTCTATCGATAGTTTTAATGTTAAAGTTATTCCAGCAGTGGGGTAAATGTTCATGGTGACACCAACTGAGGAGAACGATTCCTCCCCATTCATCCACTTTCTAATTCGCTTAGAACCAAGAACAACCTTGAAGGGCGAGGAGAAAATAAAAGTGCGGTTACATATCGAGAAAGGGGGAGGGGAAATGAAGTGGTGTCCAAATATTTGCTTTGTTATCAAAAACATGGATCAGAAGTTACCAAAGCTCGAATTGTTGATTACCAGAAGAGGTTTTTATGTAGCCATTTCATTTCAAAGCTTTTTAGTTTGAAAACAGTCACTTAAAGATTGTTAGTTAAATCACTTTTGGATCCGATTGGTCATGCTCTTTTTGACTGTTGACAAGCAGTGGATAAGGCTACCTGCGAGGTATCTCCGAGATCCTATAGCTAAACTTTTGACATTGTGCTTTGGCAGAGTGTATATCCACGCTAGCAATCTTGAACCAGCAAATTTAAGAATGAGCATTTTAATTTTAGCATAGTTTGGCCACAGTCATTTCACTTAGTTCTGATTGCATAGTTTCTGAACCCTGCTTAGCCGGTTTGTATTGAAGATGGGTTCTTTAGAAAGGATGAAAAATTTTAAAGAAAACGAGTTTTGACCAAAACCTTTTACTATACACACGATTCAAGACCCAAGTTCCAACATGAACCTATCAATGTCGGTGATCACAGGACACATAACAAATTTGGGTATTGGAGCACGTAAAATTTGAATAAGCGTGTAATAGAGTACCTTACCTGATGGCGCATGCTTATTTTGGAATCTTTTGTGTGGTTAAAGTCCACCAGTGCTCAAGACCCTTAACTTGAAAGTAGAGGGCGTCTATTTTATAGTTAGGGTTCTGGAACACAGGCTTGTCCAATAGCAGCATCAACTGCAGGATTAAAATGGTACATTTATCTGAGAGAAAAGGGAATATTTTAGAATACTGTCCCATTAAAGATTTCCATGTCTTTGTATGGATTTGAAATAACGTGAAAGCGGAATTTTTGAAAGTAAGTTAACTTTCCTTACTATGTTTTAACTCCAATTAATATTACACCTGAAAAACATAACGCTACGTTCGTTTTAAGTTTAATTTGCAATTATAAGATACGTTAGCAAGCATTGCGTCAGTTACAATGCAAAATTATTATTTTAACGCGTGTACTCAACTGAAAATCACTTTGATGAATTAAAGTTTGTCGAGAATTTTTACGTCACTTTGTCCCAGGCTCCTTTATAAGGGTGGCTAGACGTTCCTTTAAGAAGCCGCCATTTTAATCTACAAAGGGCCTTACAAATACCGCCTCCATTTAAAGTACATATTATGAAAGGATCGTATATGAAAATGACTATTAAATACAGGCTAAATTCAGAATCTCTTTGATCAATTGTTAGGAGATTGACCAATAGCGCCAGAGAAAAAGTATTTAGGTTGGCTTCAAGACTTTTTTGGCTTTCCGCTGTCTGAAATTCAAACATTGTAAACAAACAAAGAATTTCTTTAAAAAGACCGGCAATAAGGAAAATCGATCTCAAAGAGAGCATTGTTTAGATTGATCAGGCTTCAGGCCTTCTATCTTCGAGTAGATATGGTACTTCACAAACTACCATTGGTCGTGGTACACATTTTAGCAATTGACAATAGCGGAGTTTGTCTGAATAATGTAAACTTTCAATATACATTTATTGCAAATAAAAATATCGTAAATTTTTTAATATGCTAGTTTCCAAGGAAGATACACTTGGACGGAGAGAAGTGGCTCTACCACAACTTTCCATAAATCCTAATATGTCTTCTACCCTTTCTTCTTTCTTTATTACATAATTTATTTACAAATCTGCTGCCCCCAATAACAAGAAAATTATCTCAAAACGAAAATCGAAAATCTGGTTTAGAGCTATCCTTTGTTACAATGCAAGGAGAGGATAGCCTAGTTTTCAGACATCTCAGTGCCATCCGGGTTCAAGGATAAATTGCCATTTTTTCACTTGAGATAGTAATTTGAAAAAAGTCATGTCATGAAAACACATGAGAAGATTCTGCCTCAATCACCGATCTCAAAAGATATGCTAGATTGATCCATGATTAAAGCTTTACCCCTTCAATTGTTCCTCCAAAAAGTCAGAAATGTGTAACATAACTTAGAGAATGGTGTAAATGGAGTTGTTTCGACCTAGATCGAATTTAAAAGAGCATATCTGATCACGAATTAGACAAATCAAAAAATTAACTCTAGCGAGGACCTCAAAGAGAGTGGAAACCTCTAAAAAAGTTCAGCACCTTTTGAAACTAGCAGAGCTTCTTTTGAGCTCAGATCCTTTTCCAACGAGTGCATCTCTAGCAAAAAATCCAAACCTTTTTATGACTTCAGACTTTCCATCTATGATTAGAACAGAATAACCTCTGAATAATTCTGTTTTTAGCAAGAGAGCCTCGATCTCAAATACAAATGATTAAGCCATAGTCAAGATACTATGACGTAGAAAGGTTCATGGCACTGCATACCCTCAAAACTTTTTAGGAGTAAACATTTAGATCCAGATTATAAATTTCACTAGGGAGGGCTCTCAACTAAAGCTACAGGTATAGGCCTAAAGCTGCTAGAGAAAATCCGAATTTGGCCCAAACAGGATTGCAAGATGAAATTTGAGAATAGTTTTAAAACGATGCATCATCTCGATGCTTTTGTTCTTGGCACAAGTTAGTTGGTATTAAGCTAGTCTTCTTCACCGCAGCCTCAAGAGACGTATTGATATTTGCCCTTTGATTAGAGAGGCAAGGGGAGCCAAAGCAACCTTTTTAAAAAATGTCCTTGACATCAGCCTTTAGTAATTATCAAAGAGATGGCTATGGAATTTTCAGACTATTCATGACACATTGACAAGTAACTAAAGCCCTGTTTATACTACACAAACTATTTTCAGTTTCGCCCCAGGAAAGAGCAATTTTCTTTAAAGAAATTCGCCTTGTCTTTTTAGGATTATCCGCTTGTTATAGAAAATTTTATAGGCTGGTTCAAAAAATCACTTTATAGGAAAATTTAAGAAATGCTCAGCTTCTTAGACCAACTGTAGATATTCTTCATATAAATTGCTTGGTTCTCTTCAATTAAGCAGAATACTATTTCACCCAAATCCTCTTAACTGAATGCATCGTTTTATGAAAACCATGGGTGTCTCCCAGCAAAAAATTCCACAAACATTGTACTGCGTAGGGATGAGAATTGTTTAAAGAGATGTGCTTAATGATAGAAAGTAGGAGAAATACCTCTTTTGCACACATGCTGTAAAGTTATTTTTAAAAGAGAAAGGATACACGTCTTTTTTATTCAAGAAACATGGAAGAAAGAAACACAGGCTCAAGTACTCTGAAATGTGACAAAGAAGGGCAGCAAGATTCATACCGTAAATTCTCTTTTTAGCCCCCCTCTCAATTAAGCCCCCCTCTCTTATTAGCCCCCCTTTTCAAAATGAAAAAGTCAATTAGCCCCCTCTCTCAATTTAGCCCCCCCCCCCAAATTTTCACTGATGCTGTAATAAGTAAACTTGACAAAAAACAGAGATTCTCATTTTATTCATTGGTCGCTCAACACTTCGCATCAAATCAAAATTCACATCATGTATTTTCCAGTC